TCAGTATTACTTCGTTCAGTTACACGTATTGCTCACACAAAATTAATTCTTATAAACCATCTCTCACGTCAAAGTTCCTAAACAAATGATGAAAACAAACTAATTTTCAGAAACATAAACCCTAACAAAGTGGGCAGTTAAGAATATTACTAGGTTCATATAGCACCTGTTTAATTATGGACTACATTTATATGCAGTATTAATAAAGCAAAATCCTATCTCCTGCTAGGTGTTACACACAAGCGAGGGCGTTCAAAGTCAACACCAAACAGACATCTGAGAGGAACGAATACAATAGGTAATAACAACACACACCCGGCCCAGGTGACCAAGCAAGGCATGAGTCTCACTCTCACGTCGACTAGAAATATATTTATAATTTGGTGATGATATTTATATACTATGACGATGGACATATGGTATGATGTGTGTTGTTGTTCAAAACTAACAACAGTCAAATAGCAGATGATCAAACAAAGACAACTAGGCTATTCAACGACCCGACCGAAGCACATTAACTAACGAATGAACCTATTTACTCTTTTTAAAAATAACACGAACCCACACCTAAAACTAATACAAAACATAATTGAAGTGTTTCTTGCAATAATGCGAGTCACAGGCGCGATGCCTCCCCGACACATTACCAAGACAGGCGTACCAATCTCCGCTCGTTCAATGAATTTAACGTCTAGTGTAATCATAAACAATACGATTTAAATTATCTCTAAAAAGAATGTCAGATATATTGTTAAAGATAAATAAGCTCAATTAATATCACCAACGTCAAGGTTCAAGTGCAAAATTCTCGTATTCCAGGGCGAGAATTCCAGAGCGACTTACTATCTCTTGTCATTTAATCTTCTCATATTTATTCAGCAGTTTTATATATCACTAAGCACTACAGTCACTCATGTCAATACTGTATAAAATATTCAATCTTAGTAATTTGTTTATATATACAGATTAAAAACGCACGCACAAAAAAAAACAGACAACACTTCCGTAATGGGACGAGCACTGAGGCAGCTGTTTAAATTTAAGACGACCAATCAATCGCCTTCCCTGTTTGGCTTCTGTAATTGGTCATTAAAAACCTCTGAATTCTGATTGGTCAATAGCCCCATCCAAGTTTAAAATATTAGTCCCCAATTTTGTTTTTACCAAGAAAGGCTACTGCTACACATATGAAGATGTTTGACTAGACCACCTGTACAAAGTTGACACAACAATAACTTCTGCCACCCTGGCGGACAGTTCCTCGATCACAATACCGACGTATCCACTCCAAAAATTAATTATACAAAGCATTTATCTCCAACACACTGCCAAATTGAGAGCTCTTGAACACATACACACTCTACAGACTGATGATAATATCACACAGACCATCTACACTGATGGATCCTTCAACACCGCCTGTGGGAGGGCTGAAGTGCTATTTTTGTGACTCAACCTGACGGTAATATAATTGAAAGGAGTTAGAATCAACAACTGGGCATCCACTCTACAAACTGAATTAGTTGCCATACTCACAGCTATTAAATTCATTGAAACCACTGTTACTGACATCCTCATCATCACTGACTCTCTATCTCACTACTTGCCCTTAGCACCCCTCGACTCAGGTTGTCACGATCTTGTCCTCTGAAGCCAGACACAAATATGCGTGCCTTGCTGACCGGGATGTAGGGTCAAACTGTTGTGATCCTCTCACATAGGCCTCAAAACGATAGAGTTGATGCCCTCGCCAAACTCGTCTAACAAAGGAACACCGTTGAATGCAATTTGGTCTGTCAAGAGCATAAAACTGTAATTAGGAAAGAACTTATTGAGAGCTTGACGCTGAAGAACAAGCGCAAACAGGCACCAGTCCGATCCATAGGTTACCATGATGAGATGTATCAATGAAACATGTATATGGAGCAAAATAACAAGATCACTAGATTACAAGATGTTGTAACTGCCAGATTAAGGTTAGGATATAAGTACCCTTTGATATGTTCTCAGCCAGATGTAAACAAAACTAAAAGTAAGTGTACATATATGGCTACACACACTTGAGTACTACGTCCTCGACTGTGAAGATAGAACCTTTTAGGCATAAAGCCACTGTGTGTGAAATGGCACAACACTTCATCTCTAATGGCAAGATAGCCGACATAAAATTGTATCCACTTTTTTCCATAGTAACAATATCAATTCTCATGACAGAACCAAATACGCAATGCTTGAATACCTCCCACGCAAATGTGAACAAGAAGTGAGAGCCAGACATACCGCCTCACACGCCTGTACTCACGCATTTGTGAATAAGTTCCTCGTATAGAACCAAACAAAAACGCAAATGAAAACACGTAACAAATTCAGCGCTATAATATCCTGACAACAAGAATAATTATGACCCTTGTAAATACCCACGAACCTTTGCGCTACCGCTCACAGGATGAGTGGGGTGCATTAAAAGCGCGTAAGCGGCAAAATCCGCAATCAACCAGCCAACCAAACTCCCTCCACGACCCTCCAGCCCAAACCCCCTCCACGACCCCCAACCAACCAAACCCCCCACGACCCTCAGCCAACCAAAACTCCCTCCACGACCCTCCAGCCAACCACTCCCTCCACGACCCTCCAGCCAACCAAACTCCACGACCCTACCAGCCAAACACACCTCACGACCCTCCAGCCAGCAAACTCCCTCACGACCTCCAGCCAACCAAACCTCCCTCCGGCCCCCAACTAGCCAAACTCCCTCCCGACCTCCCAGCCAACCAGACTCCCTCAGCCCTCCTTAGCCAACTCCTCCGACCCTCCAATAGCCAGACTCCTCGGCCCTCCAATAGCCAAACTCCTTCCACGGCCCCTCCAGCCCAGCCACTCCTCCCGACCCCCAGCCCGCCAACTCCCTCGACCCTCCAGCCCAACCCAAACTCCCTCGACCCTCCAACAGCCAAACTCCCTCCACGACCCTCCAGCCAACCAAACTCCCTCCGACCCCCAGCCAGCCAAACTCCCTCCACGACCTCCAACCAGCCCGGCTCCCTCACGACCTCCAGCCAGCCCAAACTCCCTCCACGACCCCTCCAATAGCAAACTCCCTCCCGGCCCTCCAGCCAGCCAGACTCCCACGACCCTCCAGCCACCAAACTCCCTCCCGACCCTCCAGCCAGCCAGACTCCCCTCGACCCTCCAGCCAGCAGAGACTCCCTCCGACCCTCCAACCAGCCAAACTCCTCCACGACCCTCCAACAACCAGACTCCCTCCACAACCCCCCAGCACATCCTTCCCTCCCCACAACCCTCCAGTACACAACACTTCCCATCTGCCAACCTTCCCCCAGCCAAACTCCCCTCCGACCTCGCCAGACTCCACGACCCTCCAGCCAGCCAGACTCCCCTCCCGACCCTCCAAGCCAAACTCCTCCGACCCTCCAGCCAGCCAGACTCCCTCCACGACCCTCCAACCCAGCCAAACTCCTCCGACCCTCCAACCAAGACTCCCTCCACGACCTCCAACCAACCAAACTCCCTCCACGACCCTCCAGCCAGCAGACTCCCCTCCACAACCCCCTACACGCACTTCCCTCTACAACCCGTCCAGTATACAACCTTCCCTCCGATCCACTCACTAATCAACCTGTCATGTCAAGTCTTGACATATCATGACAAGTCATGAAACATATGTCATGACATATCATGTCAAAGACTGACATGGCATCTCATATATTGTCACATGACCTGACATGTCATGTCATGACATTGTCATGTTAGTCATGTCATGTCATGACATGGCATTTCATAATGTCATGACATGATATGACATGATATGACATGAAATGTCACTTCATGATATGAAATAGCATGACCGATATGTGTCATGTCATGTCAAGTCTTGGTATGTCGTGACGTAATCATGTCATAACATTTCATGTTATGACATGTGTTTCATGTCATGACATGACATGGTAAGACATGACATGGCATCATGATTTGTCATATGACTGACATGTCATCATGCGACATATCATGTTATGTTATATCTTGTCATGTCATGACATGGCATTTCATAACTGTCATGACATGGATGACGAATGTCAAGTCATGACAAGTTATATCATGACATGTAATGACGCCAAAATGGCATGACATGATGTCATGTCATATCAAGTCTTGGCATAATCGTGACATGTCATGTCATAACATTCATGTTATAACATGTGTTTCCATGTCATGACATGACATGGTAAGACATGACAGCATCTCGATTTGTCCATGACACGTATGTCATGTCCGACATGTCATGTTATGTTATATCATGTCATGTCATGACATGGCATTTCATAACTTGTCATGACATGATATGACCGTATGACATAAATGTCATGTCATGACATGAAATAGCATGACATGACATACATGTCATGACATGAAATAGCATGACATGATATGTCATGTCATGTCAAGTCAATAGCATGTCGAGACAGTCATGTCATAAAATTTCATGTTATGCCATGCTTACATGTCATGACATGACATGTTAAGACATGACATGGCATCTCATGATTTGTCATATGACCTGACATGTCATGTCATGACATGTCATGTTATATTATGTCATGTCATGACATGGCATTTCATAACTTGTCATGACGACAATAAATATCGATATGACATATATATCATGACATGTAATGACATGAATTAGCATGACATGATATGTCATGTCATGTCAAATCTTGGCATGTCGCGACATATGTTTATGTGTGACATGACATAATAGAACATGACGTCAAGACATGGCTTGTTATGTAATGGCATGACGTGACATGTCATGACGTCATATCATGTTCTGTCATGTCCAGTCATGTTCTGAAATGTCAAATCATGTCACATCATGTCATGAAATGTCATGACATGTCATGTAATATGAAGTAACATAACATTACCATGTGCTGACATGTCATTTATATCACGTCATTACATGACATGACTTGACATTTAAGAACATGATATGTCATGGTATGACATGACTTGTGCTAGAACATGATATGACCTGACATTTTTTACATAGTGTAACATGACATGACATGAATGATTGCATATAATAAGTCATACACCATTTCATATCATGTTCTAGCATGTCACGTTATGACATGACATGTCAGGATATGTAATGACATGGTGTGACAAGTGAGTGGAGAGGAAGGTTGGTTGGTAGGTGGGTTGTGGGAGGAAGTGTGTGTGATATAGGAGATGTGGAGAGGAAGTGTGTGTTATAGGAGGGTTGTGGAGGAAGATGTGTTATAGGAAAGGTGTGGGAGGAGTGTGATGTTATAGGAGGTTGTGGAGAGGAAGTGTGTGTTATAGAGAGGTTGTGGAGGGAAGTAGTATGTTATAGGAATTGTGGAGGGAAGTGTGTGTTATAGGAGGATGTGGAGAGGAGGCAGAGGTGGATGGAGTGTGGAGGAAATGTTTATAGGAGAGTTGTGGAGGGAGAGTGTGTTATAGGAAGATTGGGAAGTGTGTATAGAGAGGTGTGGAGGGAGTTATAGGAAGTGTGTGGAATGTTATAGGAGGGTTGTGGAGGAAGTGTGTGTTATAGGAGGGTTGTGGAGGGAAATGTGTTATAGGAGGTTGTGGAAGGAAGTGTGTGTTATAGGGGGTTGTGGAGAAGGTGTTATAGGTGGGTTGTGGAGAATAGTGTATAGGAGGTTGTGGAGAATGTGTTATAGGAGGGTTGTGGAGGAGGTGTGTGTTATAGGAAGGGCGGAGGGAAGTGTGTGTTATAGGAGGGTTGTGGAGAAATGTGTGTTATAGGAAGGTTGTGGAGGGATGTTATAGGAGTTGTGGAGAGGGAATGTGTTATAGGAGGGTTGTGGGAAGTGTGTTATAGGAGGGTTGGGAGAGGGAAGTGTGTGTTATAGGTGGGTTGTGGAGGAAGTGGTGTTATAGGGGTTGTGGGAGGAAGTAAAAGAGAGGAGGTTGTGGAGGGAAGTATGTTATAGGTGGGTTGTGGAGGGAAGTGTGTTATAGGTGGGGTGGAGGGAAGGTTTGTTATAGGAGGTTGTGGAGGAAGTGTGTTGGGAGGGATGAGGGAAGTGTGTTATAGGAGGGTTGTGGGAGGGAAGTGTGTTATAGAGGTTGTGAGGAAGTGTGTGTTATAGGTGGGTTTGGAGGAAGTGTGTTATAGGTGGGTTGTGGAGGGAAGTGTGTGTTATAGGAGGGTTGTGGAGGGAAGCAGAGGGTTGTGGGAGGAAGTGTGTGTTATAGGAGGGTTGTGAGGGAAGTGTGTGTTATAGGTGGGTGTGGAGGGAAGTGTGTGTTATAGAGGGTTGTGGGAGGAAGTGTGTGTTATAGGTGGGTTGTGGAGGAAGTGTGTGTTATAGGTGGGTTGTGGAGGAAGTATATTGAGTGGTTTTGGAGGAAGTGTGTAAGAGAGGTTGTGGAGGAAGGAAGTGAGTAGGAGGGTTGTGGAGGGAAGTGTGTGCAGTAGGATGGTGGAGGGAAGTGTGTTATAGGTGTGTGTGTGGAGGAAGTATGTTATTGGAGGGTTGTGGAGGGATGTATGTGTTATAGGAGGGTTGTGGAGGGAAGTGTGTGTTATAGGAGGGTTGTGGAGGGAAGTATGCGTTATTGGAGGGTTGTGGAGGGAAGCATGAAGTCAGGAGGTTGTGGAGGAAGTGTGTGTTATAGGAGGGGTTGTGGAGGGAAGTATAAGTGTAGGAGGGTTGTGCATAATAATGTTTTTATATATTAATAATTATTTGACGTAAATTTGACTGGGGAATAGAGTAACGTTTATTGATAAAGAAGAAAATTTTAGGTAACTTATATTTTAAAATGTGGAGGGGGGTATTGACCAATCAGGGGCCAGAGATGTTTGAAAAGACCAATTGGAAACCAGGGAGGATAACACTGACTAATCAGGGGATGTCATTTGAAATTTGGACAGACGCCTCAGTGCTCGTCCGATTACGGAAGTGTTAAGTCTATTTGATTTTTGTGCGTGCTTTTTAAACTGTATTTCTAAACAATATTACTAAGAGTGAAATTTTTATATACAGTATTAACGTGAGTGACTGTAGTGTTTAGTGTTCTATGAAAATCTGATAAATATACACGAGGCAAAGATTTAAAAGGATTAAATGGCAGGAGCGTAACGGTCAACTCCGGGATTTAAACTCCACGGAAAAAAGAGAACTTCACACTTGAGCCTTGACGCAGGTTAGTTACAATTAACCTACTTTGAATTAAACAATATACTTCATATGATATGATATGATATATGATATGATATGATATGATATAGTAAGATATGATATGATATGACATGAATGTGGCGCGATAAAAGATTAATTCTGAAATTACGCGAAATCTTGTGAGATAAACCGAAAATAAAATTTTGCACTAAACTTGCATTTAACCCGACACTGGTGATATAGTCCTACAGACTATTTAACAAGTAACGATTCTAGAGATAGTACGTATATATATATATATATATATATATATATATATATATATATATATATATATATATATATGTATATGTGCAAGTATATGTGTTATAGGTGGGTTGTGGAGGGGAAGTATGTGTTGTAGGAGGGATGTGGAGGGAAGTGTGTTATAGGTGGGTTGTGGAGGGAAGTGTGTTATAGGAGGGTTGTGGAGGAAGTGTTATAGGTGGGTTGTGGAGGGAAGTATGTGTTAGGAGGGATGGAGGGAAGTGTGTGTTATAGGTGGGTTGTGGAGGGAAGTGTGTGTTATAGGTGGTTGTGGAGGGAAGTGTGTGTTATAGGAGGGTTGTGGATGGAAGTGTGTTATAGGAGGGATGGAGGGAAGTATGTATTATAGGAGGGTTGTGGAGGGAAGTGTGTGTTGTAGGAGGGATGTGGAGGGAAGTGTGTGTTATAGGAG